ATTTTACAAATATATAAAACAAATATACTATAGAAATATCTCCTATTTACGCATATATACAAATATATGCATACAGACGTATACATACATATATACACATCAACATACAAATATAAATAATACAAATCAATAACTATGAATATTTACGTCTGTTAACAATATATTAGTTCTTACGAATAAGACACTTTGTGTGTCATGCAATTAAGAATATCTATCTATCTAACTAACATCCTTGAACACACATACACACTCACAAAAGGCGTGCGGGCAGAAAGTACTGATGTAAGATTAGTAGATCATCCAAAATTGTCGGTTGTTTGAAGTCAGAAAAAGTACTCGATGTTAAAAAACATCGATGTTTTTAAACGATGCATCGGAATATATCGATGCACAGTTTCGATGCATCACATCGAAAAAAAACATCGATGTATTTTCAAAGTGGACACCCCTAAGACATGTTTTATTTTGTCTAAATTAAATCTGTTTTAAATATATTTGACACTAGATGGTGACACTTTGTGTCATGTGAACTAAAAATATAAAGGTACGTAGAGCTCAGTATTGGTAAAAGAATCATAGGAAGGTGCTGAAATTTGTTTGCATTGACACAAAGAAATTTTAATCGCCAAAATATTATTTTTATAGTTTATAATAATTTTGTGAACAGGCCGCCCTCTATCGTCAAGGTAGCTAAACTACATTGCAACATCGATATGGAACGATTCGAGTAGTTTTACTATTTATTGGTAGATGTAGATAGCGTAAAGTGGGATTACAACACTTCCTCTTTTCTTTGTATGTGCTTCATGACATAAAGGCCCTGGAGCCAGAAACATACATTTATAGTATTTAAATATATAATAGAGATACAATAATCTAAAAACTCTCAATTATGTAGGTAGATACATTATGTTGAGAATGTATTAAGCTAATATCAAACAACCACAGGACGCATGCCTTTTTCCAAGTGACATAGGTACGACATAACCTAAAAAGGTTCAAATCTAAATATCTTTTTTTTGACGCCTTCTCAGGACAAAATTATTCAGGGACTGATGCTTAACATTTTAAGATATTATGGAATACCATTCCCTCTCAACTAATTTTATGTATGAAAGTCTGCCATTGTTCTTTCACCGACGCACATCGCGTCAAAACTCACGTTACCATCCACATCATCTCGATGCTCGGCGATCCACTATTGTGCGATTTACTATGGGTTATCTTCCTTGCGCGACATTTTTGTAGAATTGTTAATCACCGGCGATTTTCCCGGACCGATAAGAAAGAAACAAGCTTACTCTTTATAAAAGGCCGGCAACGAGCCTTTAATTCGCCTGGTGTTGCAGTTGTTCATGGGCGGCGATAAAAACTTTCCGTCTGGTGAGCCGCATACTCGTTTGCTGCCCCTTTTACAAAGAAAAAACGTGGTCTCCGATTTTCAACACCCACCATACGAAACAACAGCAATTAGCTGCTATTTCACGCAAGAATCCTTCATATGAACATTATTAATGCCCGGTCGAGCCGATGGGGTTGATTCGGCAGTAACTGCCTTTGATCCTAGCGGTCTTAGAAAAAAGCATTTTAAATAATATAGAAAGTTGGAAGGAGAGAGGCCCGATACTTACACTGGTTAAGCTTAATCAGACTATAAAATAAAAATAAAAATATTGCCATAAAACATGAAAATTTTATTTATAAGAGAGAATCGTTATTAAAATAGAACAAACATTACATTAATATTTACAAATAACACTTAATAATAAAAATTTAGACCAACACAGATAGATTCATACATACCAACAGAGATAGAACACTACCAGACCAAGCGGTACGCAGCTGGAAGTACAATGTCAATACATTAAGAGAGTTGCAGGCAGTTGAACCCATTACTTACGCACCGCGTCTGTTTGCTTCATATTTGTCACCGTTACCACGCTTGGTACAGGTACAGGTTGGTAACCACATTTTTTTTAATCATTAGGAAGATGCTGCTGCCCATCTCCTGATTTGTTTCCTTCTGTTGCCTCTTACCGACAACCACGGGATATGGGGTAGTGGATTCTAACACCGACACTACACAGTAAAACCTAGGTTTGATGCGTCCAAACCTAGGATTGTTACTTGCTCGCGTCGTAAAAATTATAATACCTCACAAGACAACCTAACGGTACATATACCGCGTCAGAAGAGTTACACGATAGAAGGCACATTGTAGGTGAATATAATATTAGGCACCGCTGCTCTATGCGAGCTAAATTGCACTTTGTTGCCTCGTAACAAGAGTCCATATTTATTAAAATGTCTTTGCAATGATACCTCGATAACTTCTACTATTATGTATTCTGTGAAATTACGTATGTTGAAAGTGACGCTAAATCCATGATTAACTTAATGTGTACACGCACTAACACACACACAAATATATTATGCTTCTTAAATAATTTACAAGCAACATAGTTTTAGGTGCCTATGTTACCATCAGTGCATTCACAATAAATTGTTTGTTTACATTTGAAATATACGTGTTTTATCTTTCTTCGTTGGTGGGAGGTCTAAAATAATATTGGTAAAATAGTATAGAAATATTGTTATAAAAAAGTTAACCCATTCCCTGTCCTATTGACTGCGATATTCACTATGTATCACTAAGATTAGAGTTACACAAGATTACAGAAAATGGAACAGGAAATTACTATTATAAAACTGCTCGTAACAGCTTGCAGCCCTATTACAAAATAAATAATACAAGATGCTTACATATCATGTACAATCAGTTATAATATTAAAATCACAACAAAATAACATCCATGCACAGAAACATTATGAATAGCTTATTTGATATGAAAATGATTCCTACAATATTATCACAGCTTTGTACAAATTAATTAAAAATGAAATTTGGTGTTTAAAAATATGTTAATGTTACAAATTTAATATCCTATAAATCTTGATATAGAGTATATTTTTTCACAATTAAATGTGACATAGACTATTTTCTTTTTGTTTTTGATTTTTTTTCACACACTGACACAACAACAGCACATCCCTTCTATGTTCCAATTTTTTTTTAATAGGATAAGGGTGACAAATGAGCACACAGTCCACCTGATGGTAAGTGGTTGCTGTGGCCCATAGACATCTACATTTATCCTCGATTACGAATCAAAATGCAGATGCGTTGTCACCCGTGAGGACTAAGATGGAATGCCTCGTTTCCAGTAAAAAGGGTCTCCTGTTTTCTACACTCACCATACGAAACACAGCAGTGTTAAGCTGCTATTTTACACTGGTATTCTGTGAGAGCGTGGTCCTTCCCCGGTCGAGCCGACCCATTCGTGTTACAACTATACTAACTATATATACTAAATATATAACACTGCATACATTATTATTAGACTTACAACGAATAGTCGGCTATTTCGGCCTATGCGGCTATTTTTATCCTATTCCGTCGAATACCGAATTCGACTATTCGACCGAACACCTAATACTTAAGATCTTTTATTGTAGTCAGATAACTGGTAAAATGAAAATATTTATTTATTTTATAATTAATTTGGTTTTCTTGTAAAGATTAAAGTAGTCATACTCAACTTCCATATTATAAAAATTAAAAAAAGAACTATCAGATAAATGTGTATGCACTCGAACTATAGTTAAAATGGACGATAATTTTGCAGAAAGACAAATTTTTCTTAATTTTCAGGCAGTAGTTTACTGCTTTTCTTCTCGTAGACAATCCCAACTTCAGCGAATAGACACTCTGAAGAATAAACACTATGTCCTTCCCGGCTGAATACTTTCGTCTAGTATTTGGCTATTCGGTCAGGAAGTCCGCAGAATATTCGGTATTCAGCGTGCAATATACTGTTCGTTGCAAGTCTAAACATCATCATTACAGCTTATCAATAGTCTACAAATGAACGTAATCATAACCCAACTACTTACGTATACTGCCCTGGCCAATACAAGGCTGCCACTCTAGAACCTATCTTTCACATTGATTAAGCTAGTTCTTAATGCTAGGTAATAAAAAATAATTACAAACTCAATAAAATCATACATCCCTGAGAAGACACCTTAATTCAAAATCACACACACTTTGTTTCTATCTATAACATAGTTTTGCTAACCGTGCCGGACAATCACAATTCAACTGTTTATAATTCAAAAGAATGAAGGCTGTATGTGTTTCTCAAAGAAGTCAAGCATGTTTGTGGAATATGACTCAGGCTTAACTATAATCTAAAAGAATGAAGGTGTCCAAATTGTTAGCTACAAGGCCTTACATTAGTTCCTAAGTAACAAAGAATCAGTCTGACTCTTTATTAAAATTATAATATAGGTGTCAATGGAACTATCAGATGGCATCAATGGTATCCACATCTACTCTTGTAATCTGGTACTGCTGATGTGTGGCGATTATGAAAAATTCTTATGACTATTGACTACAGAGAATTGGGATAAGCTGTTCAAGATGAGGATTGTATGATATGTGACCCCCTAAACAGTTAACGAAGTCCAGCTAACTTAAAAAAACTGAGAAAAAATGTGGGGATGGAGAAAATAAATATATTTTGATATAAATATATACTCGTTTTTTTTTTAAATTGTAATTAATCTAGCCTTACAATTAAAAACACAAGATCCTCAGTGTGTAATACCATAGTTCATGCCTTAACATTTAATGAGCAAAATTGATACTTTGATACCAAAAAGCCATTACTATTTTTAATGATATAATAAATAATATGAAAATATTTTCATTGTTTACATGTAACACATATTGTAGTGCCTTGTTTTATATCACGGTTTTTATTCCTAACAGATTAACTGTGAATTAAGAGTCTTTCCCCAAAGTATAAAAAATAATTAATAATTTACAATACAGCCACTAATTAGAATTATAAAAATGGGAGCCAAACAAACAGAACTATTCAAAGCCTTTAAAACTGTACTAAAACTAACATTTTAGCTTCTTTTTATTCTTAAATCTAATCAGCTAACTTATAACTTACAACTGTCTCCATTTTGTGAAGGCTTGTGGAGAATGTTTTGAGCTGAACATTCTGTGCATTAGATATAGAAATAGGTTCTGCTTCGGCCCATTTCTCGGGTATATCACAATGCGGTTTGGCATGGACAAGAACATCAAAAGAACACCTACAGTCCAAGAATGGTAAGTAGGAAATGGTAGCAGCAACTTGCAACATAACATCTCTAATTTCCTGCTGAATCTTCTTCAGTTCCTTACTGCCAACAGTTTCATTCTTTTCTTTTGATAATGCAACATCTCCATCTTCATATTGGACATTGAAATCCCAACATTCTAGAACTTCTTTGTTTGCCACATTTATGATGACCAGTGATAATTTTGTAACTTTCTTATTTACAATCCATTCTGAAAAAGAAATAAGAAATAAAGATAAGACATTATAAACCCTCACCTTAGATATTATCATCTTTTTAAAGTCCAGGATTTGCTTAAAATTCAAATGGCAGAAATTTTATTTTATTCAATAAAAACAATTTTAAGCTGCATAGGTTTTAAACTCCTGGTAAAACTGATACTGTTGACATTATCAGTTTTACCACATCTATATGACATTTCTCTCTTTCAGCCCTACTTGAATTGGTTTCCCCATTTTTTTTTTAGAAAAATTCTGCTTCTTCATACCTGCCTCGTGCAGCACATACTATCTCTCAGTCACGCACCAACTAAAACTCTTTAACCTTCATTGATTATTTGTAGGGCTATGGGAACCCTTTCGCACATATCCATGGCCAGCCTTAAGGCCTCTTTTTGAGGAAGAGCAACTCTTTCTTCTGTTATTCTACTCAGGCAAGGCCCTGAGGTCCTGAGGTCCTGAGGTCAGGAAAGTGCGCCTAGGAAATCAATTTTCCCAGCCTCAGCAGATTATCAGCAGGTATATGATTCTACCACTATTTTATAGGCACTTTTCAGTTGCAGAGTCGTGAGTTCGGACCATCATTAATTCCAATACATCTCTAAGCCATCACAGCCCCACCAGCACAAAGCACAACTTCCCCGTGCCACAACAAGGAGTGCATAATCGATTTTAGGATAACTAGTATCATATTTAAGTGCAATACTACTTACAATAAGATTGGTGATAAAATATTAACTTATGTCAGAAGATAAAAATCAGATACCTTCACTCTGTGTCAGGAGATTAGTGAGGAAGCTCTTGATAAGTGGATCCTCAGAGATAAGTAACGTGATTCCATATTGCTGTTCAGCTTTAAATGTTTCTGGTGGGTACAATCCTCGTTGAAACAAAACAGAGTTGATAGCAAATTCTGAAATTAAAAAAATACAAATTATTTTTTAACCTTCTTTTAAAGACTATGTACTACAGATTTTAGAGGGCAGCGTTTTGAGAGTTATGGGCCCTTATTTTTCAAAACCTAAAAATCTCATAACATAGTAGCATTGAAAGTTCTTATAATATAAAGAAAAGCACACACACTTGGAAAATGATTACAGAAATAATAAATATATATATAATATTTTTATTGTAATTTGAAAATATTGAAGTTATGAAAAATGCTTAAGATTTCATAACACATTATTCCTATATAAACTTATACTGCCTTGTTGGTCAAGTGGCCTTAAGCACGTCTGCTGAACATGAGGTCCTGGATTGCAACTCCAGGTTGAGCCTAAAAACCTCAGTTATTGGGTCAGTTGGTTTCTGTCATGAAATTCTTAGTAGTCAGGAAAATTTCACCTTCGTGCCTCGGAAAGCACGTAAAGCCGCGTCTCCACCAAAGTTTTGTTGCCAACAAATGTTTCTGTCAACAAGCATCTTCACCGGGGGAACAAATGTTGGCAACAAGCGTATTCCTTTGATGTTGCCACCGAAAATGGAAACAAGTTTTATTGGCAACAAAACTTTGGTGGAGACGCGGCTTAAGGCCATTGATCTAATCCTGATCTCTCTCTCCGGTCGTGACAGATTGCCGTCCCGTAGGACAATGAGAGAGAGTACATGTGTGTGTGCGTCCGTCAATGTCCGTTGAAACTGGCCACCGTGACCGAATTTTGCTCTAGAGAACTTATTATTATTATTCCTTTAAAGATGTATTATGTGAAGTTATTGCTTCAAAATGAAAACAAAGAGAGTTAATAAAGAAAAATAATTTTAAATAGTTATGTTTCAAAAATTAAAACAGACAAAATTTGCTTTGATACAGAAAAGTTTAGCCGGTTCACTTTTTCCACACTTACCTATATTTTTAACTTTTGTAATAAGAAAATTAGATTTTGGGTTTGGAAATGCTGTTGATACTTACTTAAATATTCGCATATTATTTGAGCAGAACCCCTGAGAGTTATACAATTTTTAGTTTGTTGCTGAGACATTTTGAAATACTACACGCGATTTCTTTGAAAATATAAATAATTTATAAATTACAAATTAACAATAAAACGCTTCTTTCTCAATAATAAAAGTCTTCAAAATCTCGTTCAAACTCGTTACAAAACGTTATTTTTAAAGTTGTTTCTAACCAAAGAGTTTGATTGGTTACGGCCACTTATGGTAGGCAAAGGTCGTAAATCATACAGCCTTGTCTAATGAGTATTTTATTAATTAACTCTTCAAAGCTCGAAAAATCTAATTGGATTTATTACTTGTACTCCTCCAAAGAGTATATAATAATTTAATTTAATTAAGGGACCCCTTAGAACAATAGATAATCATCATCATCATTATAATAACTGGCTTTACGGCTCTGGGATCTATCCCTTCTGAGCCTGAAGTTACAATATTATATTATAATAATTATTCTTCATAGTATACTGCTTCACAATATGTTGATGCGTCACATTGTGCAGCCCTTGGGAGATTTTGACGTCAACTTGAGCCAGCAGACAGCTGACGGTTGGCGATGGTATCTCAAGGCGCCTAAGCAGACAGGCACCTTATTTTGAGAACCACATCACCATCAGAGCACTTGTTTCACAGTTTCCACTAATAGTTCACATGCGCAGACATTTAATACACAAAATCGCACGACTTTTACATATCAAAATCCACTTCAAACCATTATTTAAACAATAAAACAGGAGCAGCAAACCGCCGCCGGTCAAGTTCCCGCCAAAACTCCAACAATAGATAAAGAGAATCAGAACTTAGAGTACAAATAAGCAAGGTATAGAGCGCGCGTATCGCTCAATGCCCATTATGCCAAGCGTAAAATTGACGCCTATGCGTTATTATACTTAAGTTATTAATTTGATAATGTAAGCATTTGTAAATATTAGGTAAGCGATAATTATAAGGTATGTTTTAGCTCAATAAAACATACGTACGAATTTATGAAACGATGTTTATTAACCAAACACAAAAATCTAATTAATTTACTCTCCCGTTAAAAACCATATTATACAGGGTTAGTGGGAACTCGACAACTTCCTGGCATAGCATGAATTCACTCTAAATCTCTAGGTCAGAATTAAATAAAATACACACAATAATTTGTAGGAAAATATTCCATCAACAATTGCTGTATTTGTTTAATGGTAACTAAATTAGTCAGTACAAAGATAAATATTTTGATTTATGTTTATTTTTGTACTCGTATCGGTATTTTTGCATAATATGTCCCGTTCGTACCTACTATCATATTTCGCAACCGTGGACGTTGGACATCAATACAATTTTCTAGAAATATAATTAGTTATTCATCTAACTTATATCTACCTGGTACGGTACATTGACTGATCACCTAGGTTGGGTGAAATTCTTATATTTCAGAAAAAAAATATTAAAAAGGTTAAAATACAAGCTGAGCTAAGACAAAACGCCGTTATCACTTCGCTGTTTTGTTTACATCTAAACGTGTCGTTGGTCGGGATGAATGACTGGATTGGTCATCATCAGCTCCGAACACCGATAAATAAACCGAAGGATGTTTTTTCACAGATGATTTTTTTAATTGGTGGTAGACGACTTATAACTTAGTACATCTTTACATTCTTAGTTAGTCTTATTCAAAATGGTGCCATATCACTCTTCTGTTTTTACGGACCGACGCGAACATAGTTAATATTTACACTATTTGACCACTTAAATACCTAAGTACCACTATTCCTGTTTACACTATTCACTATTAACACTTAGAACTTAATACTATAAATAATTATATTTTAGTTAATCTCTCAATTTAGAAAACTACTAAATATGTTTAACTTGAACTATGCAAAGCGCATTTCAATGGAGACTAAAAAAATAATGTCAACAAAATTCAAAAATCTGGCTACATATTTTGACATGCATATTTTATATCTATAAGCATTGTAATAGAGCTTACTTTAACAAAACACCGCCCACTTCAAGAGTCGAACACGTGCAGAAAGAGAGATAGCCGTCGAAACAACCAGTGTGAAGAAAACGGAATGTTCACACACATCTGTTATCATAATCACAAAATTAAATTTACCGATAGACAAGGACAGAGATAGGAAACGTCGTAGTTGTGCGAGCGAAATCGCGTTAGTTAATCGCGTATCGTGTCTCTCGCGCATGTTTGTATTATCTATCTCGCTCTCAAAAACATGGCGAAGTCAACAATAAACATGATTATAATTTTCAACAAAATAAAATTTTTAGCTATAATTATGAGTGGTAAGTAATCCCGTGTATCTTATTTTTATTTCTTGAATTATTAGAACACTGTTTAGCTGCACAAGAAGTCATCAGTCATTTTTTTATGTCAACTCTCAATTCCTTTAGTAGTTTCTCTATTTCTGACATTTTGGTGCCTTATATTATAGAACCGAAGTGCTGGTATGTAACTCTAACTGTATCAACAACTCAACACAACCGTTCTGCAGCGTCCGTACAGTTAACGCCCTCTAGGGAAACTCCACAGTACTAATTAATACATATCTCCGCTAACTCTCTAACTAATCGAAAAATCGATCCATGTCTTTGAGCGTGGCAAGTTGCCTTGGTTTGGTCGCTCCTGTAAGACTGCATTACGCAGTAAGCAGAAGTGTTATCAAGCCTGGGCTGCGGCTTCGGCGACTCGGGACACCAGCACACTTAAAAAGAAGTATAACTTCGCCTCCAGGTCCTTCAAAGGAGTTATTGCCAAGGCAAAGTCTGAGCACATATGCAGAATTGGCGAGAAACTAGTTCGCCTTCCTTCGGGAACCCGTGCATTCTGGTCTCTCGCCAAGGCTGTCCAAGGGAATTTCTGTAAGCCATCACTACCATCTCTGCACAGGGAGGACGACTCACTGGCCCATGACGCAAAAGACAAAGCTGACCTTTTAGGCTCCCTTTTTGCGTCCAACTCGACTCTTGATGACGGGGGGAAAACACCGCCAACCATCCCGCGGTGTGAGTGCTCCATGCCGGATATGCTGTTCTCACAGCGCTCGATTCGCAAAGCACTTCTTTCCCTGGACATCCAGAAGTCGAGTGGGCCTGACGGAATCCCCCCAATTGTGCTGAGGATGTGTGCTCCGGAGTTGGCACCGGTCCTAACGCGTCTTTTCCGGTACTCCTACTCCCAAGGCGTAGTCCCGAATTCATGGAAGACAGCTTTTGTCCACCCAATCCCTAAAAAAGGCGACCGCTCAGACCCGTCCAACTATAGGCGTATCGCGATCACCTCCTTGTTCTCCAAAATAATGGAATCTATTATTAACTGCCAGCTCATCCGGTACCTTGAGGATCACCAGCTGATTAGTGACCGCCAATACGGTTTTCGTCGGGGTCAATCAGCTGGTGATCTTCTGGTCTACCTGACCCATAGATGGGCGGAGGCAGTAGAGTCCAAGGGGGAGGCGTTGGCCGTTAGTCTGGACATTGCGAAGGCCTTTGATCGGGTTTGGCACAAAGCGCTTCTTTCGAAGCTCCCTTCCTATGGGCTTCCCGAGAAATTGTGCAATTGGATCACCAGCTTCTTTGCAGATCGGAGCATCAAGGTCGTTGTAGACGGTGCATGTTCTGACTACAAGCCTATTAACGCTGGTGTTCCACAAGGCTGTGTGCTATCACCAACGCTGTTTCTTCTGCATATATATCAATGATATGTTGCTAACTGGTAACATTCATTGCTATGCGGATGACAGCACTGATGATGCTCTATACACCGGCCGTGCCAATATTTCTCGGGAAAACGTCGCCGAGTACCGGAACAAACTTGTGTCTGAAGTCGAGTCCTTGCTGAACAAAGTCTCGGATTGGGGGCGACTAAATCTAGTCCAGTTTAATCCTCAGAAGACACAAGTTTGTGCGTTTACCGCTAAAAAGAACCCCTTTGTCGTATCTCCTCAGTTTAAAGGCACTCCCCTTCTTGCCTCAGCCAGTATCGGTATCCTCGGAGTCGACATATCGAGTGACGTGCAGTTTCGTGGTCACTTGGAAGAGAAGGCCAAATTGGCCTCTAAAAAGCTTGGCGTGCTCAGCAAAGCGGGACAGTATTTCATGCCGGCACACCGCCTGCAACTTTACAAGGCGCAGGTTCGGCCTCACATGGAATACTGTTCCCATCTCTGGGCAGGGGCTCCCCAGTGTCAGCTCCTTCCACTTGACCGCATCCAGCGCAGAGCGGCTCGAATCGTCGACGACCGAGACCTTTCCGATCGGCTCGATTCATTGGCACTGCGAAGAGATGTTGCATCCCTTTGCATTTTCTTTCGCATCTACCATGGGGAGTGCTCTGAGGAATTGTTCGGATTAATCCCAGCCGCCAAATTTCACGAACGCACATCGCAGCAGAACTCCCGATACCATCCAAACCATCTGGATGATTGGTGGTCCACCACTGTGCGATTTAGAAGATGTTTTCTTCCTCGCACGACTTCCTTGTGGAATCGATTACCATCAGCGATTTTTCCGGACCGATACGACTTAGGGACCTTCAAGAAAAGAGCGTACTCCTTTTTAAAAGGCCGGCAACGCATCTGCAATTCCCTCCCTGGTGTTGCAGTTGTTCATGGGCGGCGGTAGTCACTTACCATCGGGTGAGCCGCATGCTCGTTGTCCCCTCTCCTATTAAAAGAAAAATTGGTTTTGATGATTGAAAATAGATGTCGCTGTTATTGCGCAGACACGGGTCTTGTTGGTGACAAAGCAAAAATAACTTTGTTGTTATAGGTTATAAACATGTGTTTTTTTTTTCACTAATAATATTATATTATTATTGTTACGGCGTGCAGCTGCCTATCTAATAGTAGGATCCTCCCGAGCCCATGGTAGGAAGAACCTACAGGCAGATACAGGTCGGGCCTTTAAGGCCAAAGTGGAAGGTCTCTAATTAAAATAAACAATAAGGGGGAAAGACCGGTAAGGGAAAGGCACTTACCTGCTTCTGGAGCGGAGACGGTTCACCAGGATCTGCCCGGCT